CTCTCTCTCTCTCTCTCTCTCGTTACGTATATTACAAAAACAGTTTAGAGGTGGTAAATTTGGGCTATCTTATTATTAATACCCTTCAGTTATGCCACTGGTCATGGATTCTCGCCATTTTTAAGTGATCCGATTTCATAAAACAAAGCATGCCTTGGGTCCTACCCTCATTACTTTATCCGCCTCTTTATTGTCTGTTTCCTCACTGCTTGTTTCTTTGTTCTGTTTTTGGTTTTTGTAGTTTTTGTGGGTTTTTTGTGTAACTGATACATTGCAATCAAAACAAAAGATATTACACGTTTTCTCAAATCACTAAATTCTTGCTCAAAATAAATAAACATCACTTTAATGACAGTTTTGGAGAGAACAAAATAGAGAGAGACAAAATAGGTTAGATATCATTTTGAAAGATGATTTTTTAAAATAAAGACAAAATTATGTCACTTGACAGATTGTGCAAAATAAGAGAATGCCCATTCCCTTACCCCCCCCCCCCCCCCCCTCTTCCTCTCTCTCTCTCTCTCTCTCTCTCTCTCTCTCTCTCTCTCTCTCTCTCTCTCTCTCTCACACACACACACCCTCCTACCCCCAAACCACCATCCACGGTTTCTAAAGCAAGTTTTGGTTGTTACATCCAGTGCTGACTGTATCGTTGCGTCCAGTGGCCTGGGTCGACCCAAATTACCCTGAGCTAATTGTGAAATCTAATACATGTTACCCCATTAACATGTGTCAGGCCAGTAAATACGCCGTTCACCCTTTCCAACTGCATCCAGAACGCCACAGAACAGCTTTATTGTAAGTGTAAACTGATGAGATGCCGAGGTATTAATAATAAATGCTTACACTCACCAACAAATCGACAGTCAAACACACATATTATGATATTAATGAACAATTAAGGACAATGATGTATAAGCTAGATTCATAATTATGTGACGCCTACTGTGTTTTGTAACAGCTGCAGAATTACCCCCGAGATATTTCTGCAGGCACAATGAGACTCCATTGGTTAATGTCGAACGCGATTCCTTTTGGTTTCTTCAAATGCGACTCTAAAAGATGATTGTTTAAACTTGCGCCTTGAAAATAACAACGACAATATCTGCTGGGAACCTTTTGCCTCTGACTGTTATTTCCTTCACTAATATGAATTTTGGACATGGCCAAATGAGAGTTTTGTCGAAGACCACTATTTATTTCTACTTTAAAATAAGACTAATAAACTCCACTTTATTGATCTCTGTGGGTAAATTTAGGTTACAATGACATTCAGATATACTTAAACACCTAGATATGTAAACACTCTAACACACAAGTATGCATAATATTAAGAATAATTCGGCCAAAGTTAGCAAATACACAATATTACTCCATTACAGACAATTTGTGCAATAAGTACACCGTTGCTAGTCACCACTGTGCAGCGTCTTATTTTTGAGCAAATATCATTATGTCCTGCTCAAGACCACATGAGTGATCACACACCTAAACACCGTGTCACCTACTTATACGTGTACTTGGCATTATTGTGAATCTTAACTCACTGACCACACAGATATTGGTCTGGGCAACATAATATATTAGAGGCAAAGACATAACCAAGTTGATTTCTCTTTGACATGTCAAACTGGCTAGTGTGGCTTCCGACCGCACCCTATCGTGTGAGCTCGACAAGTTGAAAAGTACACACAACATGTATGCACTTTCACGTACGTAGCGGTTTGTCTCGTCGATCCTGTGGACTTGACTTCTGGATGAAGAGGAGTGAGCATTGACTTGAATGGCGAACGCTCTACGTCTCGCAGGTATGCAGGAAATTATGCTCGCGCCTTCTACAGTAATGCACGTGTCCTCTTTACCGCATCTGCCTTGCGCATATCTGTCATCACATAGAACAGCCTGGCTTTTCATCTATGTTTACGAAAGCATGTTTGCAAACCTATAAAATGTGTCTCAAGAGCTCCGTACTCTCGTGATAACAAGGCAGATGTTTGTTCGCCGCGTGTTATGTGGCTAAACGTCTCGTAGCAGTTGCCCTCTTGTAAACCTCTCCCCTTCCTATACACACACATGTACATTTTGGGCGTATTATGATCTGTAATCCACTTAGCCGCCCGACTTTACGAGTTTTTGAACACTTTATGAAATAGAATTAATTAAACGTGCGACAACACCGCCGAGGGAGTGATCTGGATGAGAATTTGGCAATTGGAATTACCAGGCGCCTCGATTTTTTCGTCTGTTTGTCTGTCTGTCTGTCTGTTTGTCTGTCTGTCTGTCTGTCTGTTGGTCTGTCTGCCTGTCTGTCTGTCTGCCTGTCTGTCTGTCTGTCTGTCTGTCTGTTTATGTGTGCAACTCTGTCCCTGTGCAAAATAACCATCACTCCTTTGATGTGCTCCTCTTTACTCAAACAAAATCTCGTGGTATATTTTTTAGAGTTTTGGGGGCAATTTTCTTGACGATCATTGTTGTTAGCTTGCTTCTTTTCGTTTTCTCTACCATTTTATGGGAGTCTCCTTTCTTTGTGCTTTAACCTAATTGTATTTCGCCTTTAAATTTTCGTTGAGACTGAATACGTAGGTCGCAGATTTTGATTTTCTTTAATAGAATCACACCAGGTGTGCATCCTGTCTGCTGCTATCGCGTTTATGTTGGAAAGACGTTGGACCCGAACCTCCTGGCCTCCTGGCGTCGCCCCTGGGGAAGAAATGCCGGTCTGAAAGCTTAACGCTGCGTTCCCAGTGGGTAACGGTAGTCATTTCTTAACGCCCATTACTTGATAATGTGATATAGTAATCAACAGAGCGAGTATTAAGTCACTAGCGAAGAGAACGAGAAAACGCACTCTTGTCATATTACTCCCTTGCTCGCCTCTTCTGACCGTGAGAGCTGAGACACTAAAATTCACATAAATCTTTATACGGCGTATAGCGCCATTCCTATATCGCATGTGGTTCCGACTCTGGCTGTAAAGTAGATAAACCGGCATCACCCCATTTTCACTAAGCGCAGCCCAGTTAGTTGTGAAACTAAACCGTTGAAAGCGCTCAAAGAGGAAAAGGCATGGGTCCAGTGTGTCGACTTATCGCTCTCGCGAGTTCCAAACCTCACGTGGAAAGGCCAACATTCGGCAACCGTCAAAGAGATACAATCTTTTTTATGGTGACTCGTGCTGATTTGTGATGGTCGTTTCTTGGTCGTTTTTTTTTTGTCTGCTCCACCCCCACGCCATCCTCACCCCTCAGCCCCGATACACTCACCTTAAAGGTGGCGGCTTTTGACGTCATAAATTCTGGGATTTCGGAGGGATTTCTCCACGGAGTCCATGTGCTTTGGGTTCTTTTTTTTTTACTTTTCCATTGGGATTTTTCGGGAAATTCAGTGACTATTTCGCGGTATCCCTCAGCCTGTTGCCCCCCTTTCGTGTCTTCTCGTCCTGACCTCAATCCACTTTTTTTCAATTTTCCTTCTACACTTTATTACTTTTTACTGCCACCTGATGGAAGCCCCAGCATTTGACCTGATCTAAGTACGAGGTGCGGGGGATTCTAAATGCGCTCACCCACTTAATTTGATAGCAAGGCTCCAAATGAGATAAAAGGGCGGTCGCTGTAAAATTATACCACAGGCTTGAAGATAACTGGAGATTCTGTGTGGATCCTGGGCCAAAATGGCCAATAAACAAAGGAAAATAAATTGATGATTACTTTCGTCTAAATTGAATTTGGCTTTGGTGTATGAGAATAGCGCAAAAATACGCAGTGTTTGCTTCTCTGATAATAAGAAGGAATGTGTAATGACGATGTAAATCAATGAGCACGACTGGACTCCAAATGCATTAATCGCAGTGATAATTCTTATCTAGTTGTTTATTTTGAATTTTTGTAAAATCTCACCGTACTTTGCTTGCCCCAGTTATGCCGACTTGGTCTCTGCAGAAGTTTGATGTTTCATCATGAACTAATTCGTTAACGACGTGCATTCTGATTACTTGACAACTCTTGATGATGCGCTGTTTTAAGGAACTTAAAAAAAAAGCATAACTTAGTTATCCAAGCAGATTTTTCAAGTGTCTCTTCTTTGTCTGAAACCTTAATACAGCAACTCAGATACCACACAGTTTGGATATTCGTGTTTCTTCTTTTAGTATAAAGGGTAGAGATGTGCTGCAACATTGCATTTGTTCTGCTGCTGGTCGCACATAAAACGTGTTCGCTACGGCTCTAAAGAGTTAAAGAAATAGTCCTTTCATAAAGGACTCATCTCGACGCCTTTCCTAAAATAAGTACTATTGGATAATATTAAAATTTAGTACACATGACAATTATGTAGATGTGTTTTGAGAGCTAGGTTTTGTTTTCAGTGCCTCTGCGTATACGTGTATTATGATATGATGAACACTCAAAGTGTGATGCAGAACAAAGAGTGTCGTCGTATGTTTGCTGATTAAACAACGACATGATAGTGGTCCTGTCATTAGTCAATCAGTCAGCCGGTGAGGCTCTTGTCTTGTCGCTCGTCATACCATTAGCTAAGCTTACCTCTTACTGCGCCATGTGTTGATAGATTTATTACACTACCGTTTGGGCTCATCCCATTTTAATCAGTCAGCGAATGCTGAAAGGGAAATTTTACAGCCTACACCAGGATTTTAAAAAAAACAAAAAAAAAACAAAAAACAAGAATTTAATGACATCTGAGATATCACAGAGCACACATTTCTGTCACCTTTGCCGGTAGGTGTACCGTGTGTTGAAGTAGTTGTGAAGTATGCGTGTCGGACCAGAGGACTGAATTAAGGTCACACAATAGTTAAGTCTTGGTGTAATAGGTATCTCTTTTCCCACAGGAGTAGTGTAATTGTGAGATGGCATAGTTGGGTCGATTTGTATTCTGGCATAGCCTTCCACACCAAACTATTGTTTTGTGGGGGTAAAGTAGGATTCTCTCATTTCTAGTCTCCACAACTTGTCGGATGAATTTATATATATATATAT